TACCCTTAAATATTCCGCCACCCCCCCCCCCCCCGTACCTTAGCTGCTGCTGCTCCTCCGTCCTTCCATGTCCCCTCTTTTTCAACTTGATGAAACTGTTTCCTTTTGGTGATATGTCTCAAAGTGTCAGATGTCCATGCTCCTTTTTTGTTTTAATAATGCACTCACTAGACGTACACAGAAGTTTTCACTCTCAATAAAAGAAGAGAATATCCGTTCTGTGTGTTCACGGGGGAGGAGGGGAGAGAAGCTGTAAATCTTGACTACACACAGAACGGACCTTCCCTTCTTTTATTGAGAGGGAAAACTTCTGTGTACATCTGGTAAATGGATTATTAAACACATAAGGAGCACAGACAACTGACACTTTGAGATATATAACCAAAAGGAAACAGTTTCATCAAGTGGAAAAGGAATGGATGCTTTTAACAATAGCCAGCCTGCTATTGGATATTTTATATTGCAATAGCCAATAGCAGGCTGGCTATTGTACCCGTCCATTGCCTGCTGTCAATCAGCAGAAAGGACCTGATGGAGAACTTTGTCTTCAGTTCCCTCCTTTGCTGATTGACAGCAGGCAGTGTGCGGGTGCAATAGCCAGCATGCTATTGGCTATTGCAATTTAACATATCCAATAGCAGGCTGGCTATTGCTCCCAGCCACTGCCTGCTGTATTTCAGCCTCAGCAGCTGAATCCAGTGAAGTGTAAAGGTGACACTATAGGTCTAAAATGCCCCTAATATCACCTTAAAGAGAACCTGTCACCTCCAATGCCATAAACTGCCCTAAAATCATTAGTCTGTATTGTTTTAGAAAAAATGTTACATGTCCCTTTTTAAAAAGTATCGGTAATTGGTATCGGCAAGTACATGAGGGACAGTACTTGGTCTTGAAAAAGTGGTATTGGGACATCCCTAGTTAAAATTGATCTACTTGTGTCTTCATACCCCCTCCCCACGGTACGGGAGCCACGTGAGGCCGAAAAACGGAACCCTCTGGACCCCCAGCCCCTCCCACAGCCAGTATCTGCACCCAGCCGAAGAATCGCTCGATAGCGGCCGCTAATTTTTTTGTACATTTAGCCCTGCTCTGGACAAGCAGAGCTAAATGTACAGCGTGGGCCCGCCGTTAGTTTTTATACAAGTGATCTGATCAGATCACTTGTATGAAAGGAGCGGCGGCAATCGTGTCCGGCCCCCGCCACCGTGGTTGTTGGGGTCCCCCGCTCCCCTGGG